TGAATAGGCCTCTACAGATGCATCTGAGGTTGGATCTGTTGCTGGATTCCTGATCTCCCTCAAAGCTTGGAGAAAGGTTGAGCAAATCAATTCAACTATAAACTGGGCAAAGCACTGTGCTAAGCTCTAGAGGAAATAGAAAATTTAAATAACATACAGTCTTTACTGTTATGGACCTTACAATCCCTTCTCCCTATGCTTTTCACACCATATTTCAGAGATGCAGAATGATGGGGCTGGTTCCCGGGGGAAGAAGCATCTGAGGTAAAGGCCCAGTTGCATCTGTTATTAAGAATAATGATATTCACAATAGTTCCCATTTGTATAGTGCTTTACAATTATATGATTCATTTGATAATTATGAAGATGGCAAAGCAGGGATAGATAGACATGGTTTCAAAGAATCTCAGAGTTGGAAGGGACTTCTCAGGGCTCTAGTCCAACCCACACCTGAACAAGCATCCTCTCCTTGGTTTCCTTGATAACTGGTATGTGGTCTCCGCTCAAAGACTCTCAACCACGAGAAGTTCACCACCTCCTAAGACATCCCACTGCACTTTGAAAGAGCTCTGTTAGACTTTTCCCCTTTAATTGAGTTGAAATCTACCTCTCGGCAACTTCCAGGCATTGCTCCTCAGAGTATCACAAAAATCATAGGACTGAAGAGTTTGAAGTTCTAAGGGTCCTTAAAAATGAGGAACCTGAGGTCCACAGTGGCTGGCCCAAAGACACTCAGTTAATAGATGGAAAAGCTAGGGTTAAAACCCAGGTCTTCTCACTCCAAATTCAGTGCTCTTCGTACGACATCTCTATTTTGCCTAAGTCCCAGCTGTGGTGGGATAGATAGGTCAAAGGGCAGGTGAAGTTAAGTGAACTAAGGGCATATTGAGCCAAACCAATTGTTCTGGGGTTTTTTAGGTAGGGTGAAATTAATCAAAGGCACTGGAGAGCATGAGAGACTCCTAACTCAAGAGATTTCTATGACTTTTGACATGATATATCCCCAAGGACCCCAATACTGTGCTAAATGAGACATTTAGGAACTTTTGGAAAAAGACTGTCTGGGCTGAAGCCCCATGCCTCTTCCAGGTGCCAGGTGCTCAGAGCCCAGGTGCCTGGATTCTCATCAGTGCCTGGGATCCATTGGTACCTAGGCTCCATCCACTGGTGCCTCTTCTAGGTCCTGGCTATGAACCAGTCCTCAGAGAGAAGAAAGTGCTGGGCAGAGTCACCCACCATTGACTGTTAGAGAACATCTTATAGGGGAAAGAATGCTGGACACAGCCAGGAGAACTGTTTCCAGTTACTGAATTCATTACGTACAAACTGTGGGACTCTTGACAAGTCACTTCCCCTTGCTGGACCTTAGTTTTTCTACCTATAAAATAGGGATAATAATTCTCTTAACCTCTCTGGCACAGTCAAGGTTGTGGTGAGGAAAACACTTTAAAAACAAGTGATGGGGCAGCTAGGTGGCACAGTAGATAGAGCTCTGGCCTTGGAGTCAGGAGGACCTGAGTTCAAATCTGGCCTCAGACACATGACACTTACTAGCTGTGTGACCCTGGGCAAGTCACTTAACCCCGATTGCCTCACCAAAAAAAAAACAAAAAACAAAAACCAATTAAGTGCTGAATGCTACTTACCTTCTGACAGAGAAAAAATGAACAAGAATGTAGAATGAGACACGTTTTGGGGGCATGGCCAATGTGGGAATTTGTTTTGCTTGACTATGCATATTTGTCCAAAGAGTTTTGTTTTTATCTCTAAAAAAATAAATGCTTAGTAATTGAAAAAATCTAATGAAAAACCTACAAGTGCTTATAGGATTATACAGTACCTTACCATTTACAATGCCTGGCACATAGTAGGCAATTAATAAATATTTATTGAATTGAAAAATGCTAGGGAAATGGGAGCTATTATTTATCTTTAAACTGAAGCTAATAAAACTTGCATTGCCCACATCACAGGACCATTTTGAGGAAAGCATTTTAAAAACTATTAAGTGCTTATATAAATATAAAGTTGTTTACTATCCAGAGTGAGCTGGTACCAGGAGGAGGGGCAGGAATCCCAGAGACATTCCATCTGGCTGGGCCAAGCCCATCCCATCTCTCTAGGTTCCTGGGCATCATCAACATCACAATGTGAAAATTCACTAGTTCCCATTTGGCAGGAGCTTTCTAGGCAGATCTTTGCTTCTCTAAACTACAAGAAATAAGAATAATATCTCCTGTTTCTATAGTTTGCTTCTACGTTTTCACTTGCTCCTCAATGAAGGTAAGTGGCTAAAATGTCCATATCCTTTGACCCAGAGATTCTGTGGCAAGGCATATATACCAAAAAGGTCAAAGACAGAAAGTTCCTATATACAACCAAATATTTATAGCAGCAATTTTTTATGGTGGCAAAGTTGTAGAAGAAAAGTAGATACTCATAGTCCTAGCCCTAGTTCAAATCCCAGACCTGAAATTTGATCCTATGACCTTGAACAAAATCACCTCTGTTGGCCTCAGTTTCCTCATCTGTAAAATGAAGAATTTGAAGTAGATAGCCTCTGATGTTCTTTCAAGCTCCAAATCTGTAATTCTATGGGGCTATGGTTAGGAATGAGTTGAAGGTGAATGTGACAGAATGTTACCGAACCATAAGAAATACCCAATGTGAAGAATTCAAAGAAATATGAGAATATTTACATGAATTGATACTATGTGAACTTAACAGAATCAGGAAAACAATACACATAACTATAATAATGCAAATGAAATAACAACGAAGAAGAAAATGACTTCCATGCAATAACAGCAGCCAGTTACCTAGCACTTGAAGATCTATGAGGCACTTTACAAATATTATTTTACTTTATCCTCAGAGCCCTGTGAGGTTGGAGCTATGATTATCTCCATTTAACTGACTGAGGAAACTGAGGCTCAGAGAGGTTAAATGACTTGCTCATAGTCATATAGCTAGAAAGTGTCTGAAGCAGTATTCAAACTCAGGTCTTCCTGGCTGCAAGTCCAAGTGCTCTGTGATGGAATAGAGCACTATCTAGTTTGCCATAGAAGAGATGAGTAAACACAGCTCCCTCCTATCTTTGCAGAGGTGGGTGAGGTGGGTGGGACTTCGAGTGTGGAATAATGCATATTCTGTCAAACTGGTTGATGTGTTGGTTAGTTTTGATGAACCATTTTTTTCTTTCTCTTTCATTCTTTGTTCCAAGGGCTGACTTGTTGCGTAAAGGAGGAGAGGGACATATTTAGAAAAGATTATATAAAAATAAAAGATAAATAAAATTTACAAAAAACTAAGGTAGTGTCTAAATACCAGGATTATTATTATTCTAGATAAAGAACCTGAGGGTCAGAGTGGGGAAGGGACACGACCAAGGTCACCCAAATGACAAGTAGCAGGACTTGAACCCAGAAACAGAAACAAGATGATGATCAGGAAAGAGGGAACAATAGGGAAAAGAAGTAGGAGAGAAATAAATTCAGTGGGTTCTGAAATGATAGCATTCATTATGTCAAACTGCTCCTGTGACATCTCACTGTTCATCTGGGCTGTGCCATCAAACAGTTGCTACCTGTTATCTCTACCCTTTGAAATACTCATTAGCTCTCCAGAAGTAACCATTATTCACAGCTCTTCAAACCACTCTTATCAAACCTTCACCCAGCCACAGCAACCTTTGAATAAAGAAAATTATTTTTTTTAGGCTGCATTGCTATACCCAGAACAATGTCGCTTCATAGAATCACAGACTTTCTGAGTTTGAAGGGATTTTAGAGATCATCTAGTCCGATTTCCTTTCATAGGAGAGGAAATATGGTTCAGGAGAAGTGACTTGTTCAAGGTCACATAGCTATTTAGTGAAAGAACCAGGACTAAAACCACAAGATCTCAAAGAGAAGGAACCCCCAAGATTTAGTGCAATGCCCTCATTTTCAAAAAGCAAATTATTATGGGAGCCAACCCCAGGCCCAATTTCCCTACCTCTGAGGGCAGAGCTACCTCCATCCCCCCACCCTCCTACCCCCACATAGCTGCCTCCTTGCCTCCTGGGGTGTATACTGCAGATTTAGCCCACTCTAGGATGGGAAGAAAGAAGGAAAGAAGCCCATTACCCCTAGTTCAAAACTTACTTTGATTTAGAAGAGACCATTCCAAAAACTTTTTTTTTAAATGGGAGGAAGCAGATAGTTTTCCAATTCTTCTACCCTGGGACTTGTAGACTGATTGGGGGTGGGGATGGAGGAGAGGGGGGGTGGGGATGGAGGAGAGGAGGGGAGGAATTCAGATGCTGCTGAGGACAGTAGGCAAGGCTCAAAGAAAATCTTTTGCAAGCAGATAAAAAATCTGTGAGCATTTGTGACCCCCAAATCTAAGGTCTTCCCCGCTGTTTCACACTTCCTCCAGAATCTATAAAATGGTAGGAAAGGATGGCAGTCTGCTGGCTGCCACGGCTGCACCTTGGGTTAAGGAGGGCTACAAGGGCATTCTCTTGGTAAGAGAATTCTGCCTGGACTGCAGCCATCAGAGTTATTTATTCCTAGTCTTCAAGGCATCCCTACCTTTCTGAGTCCCCAGAGACTCTCTGAGAATTCCAAAAGGGTAGATCCTTATTGATCACTTTGTTAAACCCCTTAGTTTTACAGATAGGGAAATTGATGTCCAGAGAAATCAAAGGACTTGCCCAGGGTCACACAGTTAATAAACATCCATGCCTTTGATTTCTATGGTCTATTCCAGCTCTAAATTCTAAGGTCCAATAACCAGCAAGGAATAGGAGAAAGCACACTGAACCAAAAGTCACAAGACCTTGGTTTAAATCACAGCTCTGCCTTTTACAACCTGTGTGCCCTTGGACAAATCACTTGTCCTTTCTAGGCTTCAGCTTCCTCATCTGAAAAAACACAAGGAGGTTGGACTAGAAGCCCTAAAATCCAATGTTACTAAGATTTCCAGCATAGTCTACTTCAACTACCCTGTCCTGACTCTAACCCAGATCTTGTCGCTCCAAATTGAAGTCTCTTCCTTACAGCTGAAAAGACCCAGAAACTCCTACCTCTCGAGATTGGGGAGGGGGGATCCCAGCTCTGGAGAAGGATCATGCTCAGTGGGAATCCGAGGTGAGCAGAGAATGAGTGGACCATGGAGGAAGGGAGGGCTGATTGGGGGCGGTGGGGGGCGGTGAGGCGGCAGCAGCTCACTGGAAACTGTGGGAAGGCACCTAACCAGACCGACCCGCTGTGAGCATTGGGTCCAGGGACCGGGCAGGGGAGAGGGGAGAGAGGGAAAGAGGAGGGGAAGGAATGGGCGGGGGGAGAGGGAGAGGTAAAGGGAAGGATAGAGAGGGATGGGAGTGGGAGAGGGAGAGAAGAGTGAGGGTGAATGAGAAAGATGCCCTGGGAAGGAGAGAGCCCTCAGCGACTGGTCTGACCCGGACCAGAGGGAAAGGCGGAAAAAGAAGAGAGATCTGAGGTTAAAGGCAGGGTAGTATCTTGGAAGAACCCAGGACATGGAGTTAGGACACTTTGGTTTGATTATAGGCTCAGCCACTTACCAGCTGTGTGACCTTGGGCAAGTCCCTTCCCTTCTCGGGGCCTCAATTTCCCCATGTGTGAAATAAGGAGGTTGAACTAACGGATGTCTGAGGCCCCTTCCAGTTCTGATCTGTAAATTCTGCGCCTGGCACCCGAGGGGGCGGCGGGGGGCGGGGTGGGGGGGCGCAGGCAGCTGCTGGCAGCACGGCGGCGGTAGCTGTAGCGGCAGCATCGGCGGCAGACTCTCGGGCTCCGCTCTGGGGGGGCGGTTGGCACAGCCTGTCTTGGGCCCTGGCAGCGCCTGGGGGACAGGAGGCTGTGGGGGGCGGACCCTCCAGCAGCCGGTAGGTGCTCTGTCCCCTCGGGGCTGCGGTCGGACTGGACCCGGGACTGGACTAGGGCTGGGGTAGCTCCCGACCGTGGGGGGGGGGCCGGCACGTGGGCGTCGAGGGGAGGTCACATCCCCTCCCCTCGCTGTTCCTGGCCAGGGCTGGGGATTGGGGGCGGTGGCCAGTGCGGGAACTGCTGCAGTCGCAGGACGCGGGGGTGAAGGGGAACTGGGAGGTGGAGGACAGAGAACTCATTGCGGGAGAGATATCGTGTGTGTGTGTGTGTGTGTGTGTGTGTGTGGTTTGGAAGGTCGATCTCCCTCTGAAACAAGTAATGGCTAAGCTGAGACCTCAGTTTCCCCATCTATCAAATGAGGGGCTTGGGCTAGATGATATATAAGGTCTTTCTAGACCATGCATTCTGTGTTGCGGTCCAAGATCTCTTCGGGCTCTGATATTTTGTATTTTGGGGTCCCTCCAGCTCTAGAATTGTGTTCTAAGATCCCTTCTATCTTTGATATTCTGGGTTCTTTGTACGTGGAATGTTGTTGGACTGAGGTGGCGGGGGTGGGAGCCTTGGGATCATTCTCTTCTTAGCTAGGTAATGTATTTGCTGTGGGGTGGGGCAGGGAAGAGGCGGAAGGATGCCCGGCGTAGAGTAGGGGGAGTTTGTCTCCCAGCTGTTAAGTGAGATCTGCCCTAGAAGAGACTTGAGGTATTCTCTAGCCCAACTATCTCATTGGGCATATTGGGAAAATGAGGCACTGCTAATAGTAAGACGTAGGTGTTGGGCGAGAGCTGAACTCAAGTCCAATGCTGTTTTCACTACACAGTTATATATTCCACTGTACATACCTCTGCTAATTGCTTCGGGTTGGATATATGTAGTATGGGATTGGGAGTGGGATAGGGTTAGTTACTCTAATGGCTGTGCATGATTATGTGTGTGGGGGGTGGAACTCAGTTTTCTCCCCCACCCCCACCCCCACCCCTACCCCATCTACCACCAGGTAACAGGCTACGTGTGTTGGAACCACCGTTCCCCTGTTTTTTAAATGTATTAAATGATCTGTAAGGTCCGTTCTTCCTCTGACAAACTATAAATCTATGTGAATGGTGTGGGGGCTGGAGTTAGAGGGTGCGTGATGGTGGCCGGATGAGAGACTGTATGGTGAAAACAGGTGCATATTCCTCATTGCAGAGTGCCTCTTTACAGAGTCTTGCACCCTGCTGTTAATGGAGTTTCCCTCAGGTTGATAGCCTGTCTGGGGTACGGTGTTGTCATCTCCTGAGGCAGCTTCTGTTGGTCCACAGAGGATTAGGGCCAGAGGCCAGCAAAGGGTAAGGTGGAGGAGAAATGGCCATACATGAGACTAGACTTGTCTTCCTGGATAGCATGAAATGTTAGGAAAATCTGAAGAATTTCTGTTCTTTGTCCCTTAAAATAAGATATATAGTCAGAGAATGAGCTGCAGGTGGCATGGCTCTCTTTGCATTCATAATAGACTATAGAGGCATAGGCTGCTGGAATCCCAGAATATCAGGGACATAAGGGACCATAGGGATCATCTAATACAACCCCTTTTATATGACTGATTGGGAAACTAAGGGCCTAAGAGGGGAAATGACTTGCAAAAGGTCAAATAGCACCACAGTGGTGGAGCCCAGACTAGAGCCCCTGTCCCTAACCCATACCTCTTTGCCATTTTGAAATAATGGCAATGATTTTTAAAGTTTCTTTTCATTGAATCAGTATTCCTGTAGTGTCACGCACATCATAATGGAAAGCTGGCCTATCTGTGCCCCAGCCTCTCTCCCCAGCGTCCACATTAGGAAGCTGGGCAGCTTCAGAAAGCTTTTCAATCATACAGAGGGAAACCAAACAGAGGAAACTCCTGCCTATGGGAAAGCCCCAGGCAGAGCAAGGAAGGAGAAAGCACCCTGGGAAAACAGGATCTACTACCCAGGCTTACAAAGCAGCCTGAGAAGAAGGGAAGTGAAGGGAAATCAGCTCTTGTATAGAGCAGTGTGTGAACAGGGAACTGAGAACACTGCTTGGAGTAAAGCAATGACGGGTTTTGTGAGATCCCCCAAAGCTAATTTGGACAATTTCATTTTTTTCTCATGAAGACTGACTTGTGTGCCTGGCTTAAATCTTCTAATATCCACATTGCTTTGTATTCCTGCTCTAATAAGCACTTTTATTTACTCTCAATAGTCCTTTTTAGCTCAAAATCCCACAATTCTGTTGTTACTATTATGCATTAGGCAAATGGATTTTGTGTCCTGACTCTACCACTTACAAGTTGTGT